TGTGATGGGTTGATGTGTAAAAGGTTGATGTGTAATAGGTTGGTGTGTAATTGGCTGATGTGTAATGGGTTAATGTGTAATAGGTTGATGGCTTATAGGTTGATGTGTGGTAGGTTGATGTGTAATAGGTTGATGTGTAATGGGTTGATGTGTAATAGGTTGATATGTAAAGGGTTGATGTGTAATGGGTTGATGTGTAATAGGTTGATGTGTAATAGGTTGATGTGAGGTGGGTTGATGTGTAATGGTTTGATGTGTAATAGGTTGATGTGTAATAGGTTGATGTGTGATGGGTTGATGTGTAATGGGTTAAGGTGAAGTGGGTTGATGTGTCATAGGTTGATGTGTTATTGGTTGATGTGTGATGGGTTGATGTGTAATAGGTTGATATGTGATAGGTTGATGTGTAATGGGTTAATGTGAAGTGGGTTAATGTGCAATAGGTTGGTGTGTAATTGACTGATGTGTCATAGGTTGATGTGTAATGGGTTGATGTGTAATAGGTTGATGTGTAATAGGTTGATGTGTAATAGGTTGATGTGTAATGGGTTGATGTGTAAAAGGTTGATGTTTGGTGGGTTGATGTGTAAAAGGTTGATGTGTGATAGGTTGATGTGTAATAGGTTGATGTGTGATGGGTTGATGTGTAATGGGTTAATGTGAAGTGGGTTGATGTGTAAAGGGTTGATGTGTAATAGGTTGATGTGTGGTAGGTTGATTTGTAATCGGTTGATGTGTAATAGGTTGTTGTGTAATGGGTTGATGTGTAAAAGGTTGATGGGAGGTGGGTTGATGTGTAATAGGTTGATGTGTTATGGGTTGATGTGTGATAGGTTGATGTGTAATAGGTTGATTATAGCCCTACAACAACCCATTCCTACACATGTAGCTGTGGGATACACCGACACCTACTGACAAACCAACACAACAATTACACGTGCATCCCAACAAGAACCACGTCCTACACATGTATGTATATATATATATATATATATATATAAACAAAAAAACATGCAAACGAAACACTCAGAAACGTAAACGAGGCTGGTATGCCGATAAGTAATAATAATATTGATAAGATTACTTGTCATTATTCAATTCCAATATCTACAACAATACCCTGTTGAGCAAGGCAGAAGCCCTCCGTGCCGGTTGAGGATTAATTTCTGCGTACACATACCTGTTTGACTGGACAAAAATAGTTACTTGCAGAAACTTGAAACGAAACGCTGTGATGCATCACAATACGGCATTTACAATCTGGCAACCTTCTTTCCGCCTAGTATTTTCCGGGTACCGCTGTTTAGGAAGAAACGTGTAAGACAATCTCACAGCAGAAGATATTGTCTCCTTGGAAATATCAATAGGTCTTCAGCAACCCATTCTTGCTGGAAAAGGCAATTCTGCTTGTCGTATGAGGCGACTAACGGTATCAGGCTCGCTGACTTGGTTGAAACATGTCATCGATCAAAGTTGCATGGATCGCTGCTCATGATGTCAGTCACTGGATTGTCTGGTCAAGACTCTGTTGCAATGTGTTCCAAGTTGAATGAAAAAATGGGCCTGGACTATTTTCGACACACAAAATCATAGCTTGGTTTTAGCCAATTTGTTTCTCTTATCGCTTGCAGCAGCTTTGGTACACTGCCGTTTTGGCTATAACTAAATGCTATATTTCTAATTTAAGGCAAATATGTAGTTTAAAAAATGAAAGATTTGACAAAATGTAAAGAAAGTATTTTCAATTTTCAAACAAAGTTTGTGAATACAATTCGGTGGAACTATATTTTTCTAATATTGGTATCACTTATTGTAATTCTGGAAAGATCTTCCTTTTGATGTTTTTTCGGACAGAGTTAAGTGTGAAGAATGAAACTTATATATCCGGTTGAACTAGAAAAAAGTGAAAAATAACTCTTTTTCTGCCTCACGACATAATGACATTTGACACAAATAGTCTAAAAGGAAGCTTTGTTTGAATACACTTCTCACCCTCTCGTAGGGTAATAATGGTGTCCAAAGTAGCAAACAAATTGTGATCATTTCTTAAGGTGAGCTTTAATGATCAACATAACAAGGCTATTTGCGTTGTTTATGACAACACGGGAGCATGTTTACACGAAGCACAGTAACCTGACACCTACCCATGTAAGTAAACTATTGCACCACGCCCAGTGAACTAACTGTGGGTTTGTGTTACATAGTGATCACGTTCACACTGCCAAATTTTGACATACATACGGTTAGCCAGAAATATGTTGGCCAAACTGTTAATTTTACGCTTGCTTCCAAGAATGAGTGAATGAGTTTGGTTTAACGCCGCTTTTAACAGTAGTCCAGTAATATCACGGCGTGTCAGCTTAATGTGGGAGGAAAGCCGGAGGCGATGCAGGTCTCAGACGTTTACCACTTCGGTGAAACCCACGAGCACGGGTATGGAGCTGACAAACCTAGAAACATAATTGGGGCGAACCGGGATTTGAACCAACAATCATAGGTTTCTGGCGTGCCCAAGGGACGCAACTCTGAACATCGAATCGCGGCGCCTTAGACGACTGGGCCACCCGTGCCCCCTGCTTCCAAGAACGGGACCATATAAAAGCGGGTCAATATTCAATATCCCAACATTTTCTTTTCTGTTTTTAAGCAGGCAACAAATTCAACAAAATAGATTGATACAATTTCTACTTTTATTTATTCAGTCAGTCATGTCTGATTCAGACTGACAACTTTCACAATATTTGCATGATCAACTGAAAAATGAAATATTTATTCACCTCAGGGTTAAAGAGGTGTAATTATACTCTACATTTCATAAGTAACTTCCCCTATTTTCGCGAAAATATCGTGACACAATCCCGCCACTATTGCGGCTCTAACGCGGATTGATCGCGCCACTTTTGAGGCATTAACGCGAAACTATTGCACCACCTTACTGAATGAGTAAGCGTTTTTTCGCATCACAGAAATCACATACATATTCCTCAACCTTATATTTGGAAATGAATGATTTTTTATATTTCCCTGCTACATGAACAAGTAACAAGGAGATCAACTCTCTTTCTCTCCACGAAAAATATTTAAACTCATATTGATACGTAATTAATGATGTCTCCTTTTTAGATGTGATCTTGGAGGAAAATGTGAGTTCTGTTGTGATCAATCAGATCCATCTTTACGACTATTGGCTTCGACATGATCTTTTACGATGGTGATAAGAAGTCTTCATTAACATATATCATTTATTTGCACTTTGTTCTTGTACCACCGCTGGTGGCTTTGTGGAGAATTAGACTTCCAGTGATTACATGTGTTAGGTTTGGAGTGGCATTATTTTATTGGACCTTAATATTAATATACTGTTATGAGAAAGATCTACAAAGAATTGGAAATGGCGATTTTAAAATGATATATTATCCCTTAGCTTTCCCTTACCATTACCATTTGTAGTGGATGTATGTTAACAAGTCGAAGTATGGCATTTATGATATATGTTTCCCTGTCCGTCACCTCAGGTTTGTTTCAAGGCATCAATAGCGCTAATCCGACCGTGGTTGCTTTAGATATCCATTGGAGTTATCTGCCGGTCACTTCTCGCATGATTTCACTGTTTCTGTGTTTCGCTGTTTTCTGTCACTTTTGAGTAGAAGTGATGTAATATTTCAGAGCTCTGATTGGACAAATTGGTCTGTCTGGATAAACCACAGACGATAGTGTAGCTGATGACTAATTCTTGGCAACAAAGTCTTCCAGGGACCTGAAAATTATTGTGCGTCTGTCTTGTGCGTGAGTGAGCGAGGAAATATCAGACGCGTGACTTTTCTTCTGAATTGTCTGTCGTTTCCGAAGCCTGCAGCACATGTCATAGGCTTGTAGGGTACGTCCATTACGGTTCACAGTACAATTGATAAATCTCATAATGGGAAGTCGCTTAAGAACTAGACTAGTACCTATAAAGCGGCCCTGTTGTTGACGTACAGAGGCCATTGCTCAAAAGGAGACCTCAATGGTGCCATGTCGGAAGTTCTTTTCCTCTCCCAGATGGAACTTGCACATAGTTGATGGCTGATCAAGGGGGTCTTCGTGATCGTGCTACCGCTTCAGAAGCAGGTCTAGACACGCCAGTCTAGGTGTGACCATTCCACGTGGACTGTGACATCGTCCATGTGAGCGCATGAAACATGTGTGTGCAGGTGATGTTCTTGAGCAGAAATATTCCTGGCATGGCATTGTGGGGTTCTGGCTCTGTGAAATTTCAAATCATGAACTGTTCATTAAAGGCTCATGAAGTAAGTTCATGAACTTGTTCAAGAATACTTGTAGATCAATTCATGAGCTAAGAAAAAACATCTAGATCAAGAGGAAGACGGCAGAGTGGTAAAATATGGGACAGGCAACCAGCTCAAACAGCTGGGTTGTAGGCTTCTACGTAGGTGATACAATTAGTTCTGATATATGGTGAAACAATTCAATTGTTATGTCTTCAACTGAGTACCGGCGTCATATGCACATTGTAATGAGAGGAGGTGTTAGTGCTGAAATTTATATGAATAGATCACTGAAAATCAGTGATAACACCAGAAGTTTGTGAAAAGGGAAGAATGTCTTGCCCCATCCGTAGCACCTGACAATCACAGAACTTGCATAAAACAAGTAAATGTTTGTATATTGCCTAACGTCACACACAGCATTCCAAGGCAGTCTCAAAACAGTCTGGACAAGACAATCCAGTGACACGATAGCGTGTTTACTAATAATGTTGAAACTAAAATGATATGTTCATTTTGAATAACTTCTGCAGCGTACTTGCTTGTAACAAACAAAGAAAAATACTTGAGCAATATCTTCGGGGTTTTTAAAACAGTGGTTGGAGTTATAATGTCTCAGACAACCAGCTTAAACATCGGCCAAATTCAAAATGTCAAAGTCACGAGAGTCTTGATTCTATAGGGCGTGAATGGTCACATAATCATAAGCCCTGATTCTTACTATACATATGAGCTCCTCAGCTGACTTTGCATGTTAATTGTGACTCAACACGCGAGACAACCTGAGACCAAAGGGCATGGATGCTGTGCTGACAAACCAAGATTTATAATGAGGCAGTATTTATTCAAATCTGCAATCACGGGATGTTGTCATTGGACGCACCTGTGCACAGCACTAGACGAGTAGGCAATATATCACGAGGTGGTTTTCCTACCAATAGCTAGAACGTGTGATGTTTCCTCAGTGTTTATAAACTGGGACGAGGAGGTGTGCCTGGCTCAGTGTACGGCGCAGGTCGTTGGAGGACAGACTACACTGACAGTGTTCTTGATCGTGACACATCGGTGAAGCAAAGGAATTTAACCTGTAAGTATATTTTCGGCTATTAACTATGTTTCTTTTAATTTTAATGCAAATGGAATACACACTATCTTTATGAATACATCTGATAAAGACGTCAATAACAACAAGTAATTGAGTCATTGTCAGTACAAAAGATCCTGACATGGAAGTCAAATATGTTCAATAGCAATATAGCGTACTGGAGTCAAATGTCGACCACCTTGCACAGACGTCCCATTCATTGTATTGTTGGCTTATGTATCCCTCACTATTAGGTTGTGGGCGTTCGTCTTGTTGATAGAGATGTAGGGGGGTCATTAGGTGTTAAAATATCTGGCGTGAAGCGACCCCGGGCCTGTATTGACCATATCAGTTCAACATAGATAATTTTTGTTTATATCATGCCATGATACTTAGGGATGTATCGTAAGCATAACGACAACATGGCGGTAAACTGATAAGGCACAACCCTGTCACCGAAAGATGTTAGATGAGCCTTCATCTATGTTTCATTGGTCAAACAAAAGGCTTTACGCATAATGACTGCAGCTTTAAGGTATATGCGTAGCAAGTGTGATTATACCTCAAGCTACAGGTTTATCATCTTCTAACCATACATGTCAGACACGCCTTGATATAACTGGAATACTGTTAAAAGCGGCGTTAAAACCCAACTCACTCACTCACACACGTTAGACCATAACACTGTGACAACATAAATGGGAGTCTATCTATCTATCTATCTATCTATCTATCTATCTATCTATCTGTCTGTATGTCTGTCTGTCTGCATGTCTGTCTGTCTGTCTGTATGACTGTCTGTCTGTCTGTCTCTCTGTCTGTCTTCATTTCATTATCCATAAAATATTTCTGAAAATGAGACATTCGCTCTGAATTTCACTGTGGATTTTCTCTTTGTCTACAGTATATTTCAAAAGAACATAATACAATTTTACTAAATGAAAGCTAATAATAATGTATTATACAAAATTTAGTGTATGATATATGTTTTTAGTTTTACTCAATGTCAAAGTGAGAGCTGAAGGAGAGGAGCATGTTCTTCCTGCACACAGGGTGTTAATGGTTAGAAGACAATATGAAAGGCCAACTTCATCCCAAATATCAAGAATGTTAGCAGTAAGACAAACTATAATGGTGGTAAGACATTTCTACATTAGAATGTAGATTCCACATGTTGTTGTTTTGTCCATATTGTCAGTATCAAAATTTCTCCTCCAGTGTCGGGTGAAGCTGAACCAGGAGTCTCACAGACTGATACGATGCAGCAGGGACAGAACAACGCAGGTAAGACTGAACATTGTGGAAAAGAGTTACAATATTGTAAACGTGTTGCACTTGCAGTAATACTGAATGTGACAGGAGAGAGAGACCTGTTCCACTCGGGAGAGCAGCAGGCAGAATAACGGTGCTACACGAGTGTAGTAATCAGAGCAACGTCAGCGTTCATTTGCTGTGTCATAGATTATATCAATATGCTAAGTTATAACAAAGACGTCAAAGAGGAAAACATTCCGTTGCTTCGCAACCTAAACTGTTCGTTTCAGGGTAATCTTATTTCTGTTATAAGTATCATATATATTATTGTATTTTATCTGAAACTTACGTCACAGCTAAACCTATATTTTGAACGTAGTTCATGCTTTGTACTGATAGACGATGACAGCATCATAAAGAGTGTAAGTTTCTGTTGCAGCGCCCCAGGGAGCCGCACCTCCCGGCATCCTATATAGCGGGGACCCGTCTCTCATAGGGGCCTGCCGCCATAGCGACCTAGATACAATCCAGGCCCTCCTGTGTGATCGTACGGTCAACGTGAACTGCAGAGGGTACCAAGAGATGACACCGCTAATGGCGGCAGCAGAGACTGGACGGTCAGATGTCATGAAGATCCTTGTGAAGAAGGGAGCCAATCCGACACTGGTGAGCGATGCAGGTCAAAATGTTCTTCACTTGGCCAGCATGAAAGGAGATGTGAAGTGTGTGAAGTTTATCCTCTCACTGAGGCTGGTGAACATCAATGCCGTGACCAACGAAGGATGGACAGCAACCGACTGGGCGAGATACTGGAGTCGTGAATCAGTGGAGCAAACCCTGTTGGATCATGGCGCTGTGCCAAGTCAGAAATCTCCTGCTGAGAAAAAAAAATGAAATAAAACTTTTTGAACATAATTTCAGACATTTGGTTGTTCTTGCTGCTTCGCATCATCAGGTAAGAAGATTGTCTGTGGTTACAGACATGACATGACATCCTGGGTTATTCCACTATGTGTTATTTGTCTGACATGTCTGATGCGCAAATCAACAAACACCTCGTGAAACAGACAACCATCTTTTTGTTTACATCTTGCTGCACTCTGTGACCCCAGACTGAGCCGAGGTTCGACCAGCTGATATGGCGCCATATTACAATGACGGCGACGTCCGTGTGGTGATTACGTCATAACTGTACTGTTGGCTGCCAGTGTGAGAAGCGAGAGTGAGACAATTTAACCCGATCGATGCCGAGGTTGTTTTTTTCTGACACACACCCTTAGTCTGCTAAGTGAAGGTTGTGCGAGAATTGCGCTCACGCGGCTCTGGATCTACCTCCGGCTGTAAAATTACGCAGAGATGTAGAATATTAATTTTCCTATCTCACGGTGTAAATTAAACTGCAAATATTGATCCGATTTTTAAAAAGAAATACTGTTGAGTGTTGTCCGAGATTTTGTTCTGATTTGAAACACAGCAAATTTCTCCACTTTTTATCGTACATGGATAAAAGTACTGTGCGACGACTTTGTTTGTTAATCAGCTTTACGGAAACAGTATCTGAAAGTCATTAATCTATATCAACTGGATCTGTATGCTTTTGTATTATGTTATACATTCAATACTAAAGATTGCTTTGAAAATAATGAAAACGGATTATCCTCTATGACATCAAAAGACAACAGAGCAGTTACAATAGGACAATATATCTTCGTGATGTTTTGTTCACAAGGAACCAAACTATTTCAACAAATATATCGATATTGAAACTGTATAAGTTTATGTATAAACAAAACATAAGATATTATGAAATGTTACTTCTTTAAACCGTGAAGTAGTAACAAAATTGATGGCCCCAGCTAACATATAAGTTAGTCCTTAGATTCCAGCGTTCACCTGATTGTGTAACTGTAATTTGGATGATGTTGCACCATCAGTAATGGAGCACAGCCTTATCATTAAATGTAATGAATTACCTTAACATTGACACCATTTTTGTTGACGTCATAGCTGGTTATCTGTCTTTGACGACGTCGGAGAAGGACGACTTTGGTATTTTGATTAATATATATCCCACCTAATCTCCGTTCATGTTATGGATCTCTCTATGTGTAAAAGAAAATTTGACAATTTTCGAGACAACATAAAATGACTTGACCAGATAAACAATTTGATAGTGTTACCGGGTATATTAATTGGACAAGACAAGCACCTCAGTGCGTAATGAAATTCCCTTAAGAATATTTCAAAACAAACAAAAGTATTTTCAATATTGGACATGTATGTGTTCATTAGTATTATATGAAGCTTTGACCAAGGGGGTACATGGTATGGTTTATATTGCTCATACTGTTTACAGTTCTTGGAAAAATATAGAAAACCTTTTAATGTCCTGTGATCACAATAATTTTAAAAGTTTGGACACATTGATAATATATATAATACAAAACGGTGGGGAAGAATACGCTCACCTTTTCGCGAACACTTGATATCATCACTGTTTGATAGTGATTCATTAACATATCCTCATGAGATATTCAGAATTGTACAGTAGACTGTTTTGGGCAATATTTCTTACGAATATGGATAGAACATTTTCGCTTTAACTTACAGATCACATTCCTTTATTCGAGATCATGTCGGTAATTTCATTCGAACACTTGTTTCATCGGTTACTAAACCATGAGGGGTAGCTTAACTTTTTACCAGGTATCTATTAAAGTTAACGTATCTACACTTTTACCATCTTTTGTTTTGAGGATTATGACACCTGAGTGATTAAATATATGTAAATAATAGATAGGCAGACATCCCTTACAGGATTATAAGAGACGTAATATATACATGTAATATTTAATATGAAATAGACTACACAAAGTAATCATGCTTACTATCTATACACACACATACTACTAAAATCTATAACACACTTGCACGTTTTGGCACAAACATTCATAATATTTGGGCAAGACATGAATATTATAAGTTTTCTTCTTCATGGGCTGAATAAAATCAGGGCTAAACTGACAAAAGTATTGCAAACATATTTTTGTTAAACGCTTGTAAAGTAGACACTGAAGTAACACATGCTTCTCACCCTCCACATAATCCGGGCAGTTTAAACAGGTTCGGTTTTCAACCGGTTTGTTGCAGTACCATCCCGTTTCTATATGGAGGGGTGCTGCTCCACATCTGAACAGGGAGAGAACTAGCCTTGGTATGTCACATGTCAAGTATGATTCAGCTCCAAAGTCAGACTTGAAGGTTCGATACTGTCGAAGTTTAATACCTCCCTTTCCTCGTCTGCTCTCGGGACATTCAGGCTTCTGCTTCCAATCACCAATGAATTTTTAACAGTTGTAGCAAAATACTTGGCTTTGAGTCTGTTATTTATATCAAACAGTTCTAACAAGTTTTGCAATTTCAATGTTGAGTGATGATCCAGTTTTTCTTATTCAGAGCCTGTCTCAGCCAGAAATACAAGGTCGTCAGCATATGCTAATACACACAATCTTACATCCACAGTTCAACTCCAAGATTAAAACCACTCAATGTTGAAATTTAATCGTTGATGTACAGATAAAATAGGAACGGGGAAAGAAGGCACCCTGTTTTAATCCACATTATACCGTAAACCACCTGGTTAAATGTCCATTTAATCTTACACTGTCATATAATGAGACAATAACGTTATACATCTTTCCTGTTATACCAAGATCAGATTTACTTCTTCAGTGACTTCCTGGTTTCGATGAGAGATGTTGGGACTGATATATGTTCTACAGTGGATCTTCCTTTCCTGAAACCATCGTGTTCATCACACAACAGGCTTTCATTCTCAGCATGTTTGTACACTTTTGAATTTAGAACACTGCAATCAAGTTTGTAGGATGACTATGTAAGCACTTAAGATATTTCTTCCAAGGTTATGAGTTCCAGAGTTCGAAACAGTTCCTTCGTTACCCTCTATAACAGTATCTTCAGCGTGGCTACAGTTTAGCAAGTCTGAATAAGCTTCAATCCAAATTGCGTTCTTGATATGTAGCCATTGTCCCGTCTGGTAACCTCATCCTCCACAGAATCCGGGCAGTTTAAACAGGGCTTAAACAGAGCTTCATATAGAAGAAGAAAAATAATGGGAGGTAATAAACTTCGACAGTATCGAACCTTCAAGTTCAAGACTTCGGAGCTGAATCATACTTGACATGTGGCAGCTCCGATGTCAGATCCTAGTGTCCTGTCTGGTGACCTCACCTCCATAGCAATATTCTGTAGTCTCTTCTGTCCTAGACCAACTTTCCCACTCTGCTTCCAGAATTCGTTCTTATTTCCTGCACACAAGTTCTGCTATCCTGTCACTGCTGTATTGACGTTTAGCTCGTTTCACTTCAGAATCGAATCTCCTTTTCTTTAGCTTGTATACCTCTCCTAATCAACGTTTCATAACACCATGACACTTACACCACTCACGTTCCGCAGCAAACACTTCATACCACAAATCAGTTGGAACCTGAGTCCACCAAGGTCTTCTTCTAATCTCCCTCTTTCCCCTCCCAGATGACACACGTACAGTTCTCGTTGGTAACGAAATGCCCATTTCCTTTCTCACCGTTGACACAAATGTATTGTATGCACCGTCTATGTTTGACGGCAGTCGGATGATTCAAGTTTTTCAATTGTCGTTACAATCGCCTGATGTCAAGAAGGTTTATGGCACTGATGTGACGTCTTACTTCACAAATGACGTCATCATGAAATGTTCCCTCTCGGGTTCGTCCTTAGGGAACACATGGGGAACACAGGGAGGAATGATCAGGAGCTGATGGGGCCTTGGCGTCCACATATCCTGTACAACCCGAACTCTGCAGAAGATGAGACGCACGTGTCACACTAAAATCATATATCTGATCTAACTGCTCATAAGGACACAGGCAATAATCTACCACACAGACACCCTTTCCTGGCACACCGGTGTAATCAATATTCTTACATGCACGACCAACAACAACACAAAAGTTCGTGTTTATCAGAAAGTCTGATACAAGATGTCCGTAATTATTTCTAGACTCATCAACAATGTTTTCTGTAGGTAAAAGGTCAACGCCTTCGAGTGACCTAATAGATCACCCATTCTTCTGCTAACATCACCATACATATACCTAATGTGACGGTCTCAGGGGTAGGCTTGGGGGAGTTAACCTCAATCCCCCCAACACTCACAGTTAATGAAATTAATTTCACCAATATCTACCAACAAGTGACTTAAGTCAATAAAAAATTATATTTATTGAATTAATAGTAATTAGATATATATTACAACGAACAATAATTATTACACTAGAATAAATTACAACTTGGCCAAACTTAAAGAAATAAACATACCCGAAATCGAAGCGTCGTACAATCTACGTCCACTCTCATGCAAAACAAATCATCAACTGAAAACAACTGTCACTGTTGATGAGTGACGTCATCAACGAACTCATTCGAAACAAGGTACAATAAATATAGCAAAGCACAAAGCAATAAAAGCCTAATTGAACTAAGTCTCTAAAGCGAATAAGTAAAACAAATATTTAGATGATAATAAATACTGAAGATACTGAATAACCTAAATTATACGAGATACGAAACTAAAAGTCAACTCATGCTGTGACGTAAAATGGCGGCTTGCTACAAACCGGGAAATGGAACACAGCAAAGAAGATACATTCTACAGAAAACTGAGCGGTAAATAAAGGTAAGAACTGAGCGATAAATGAGGTAAATACACAAGGAAAATGTACTTATCAATCAACTGAAATGTCACGGAACTGTCAAATCATAAAGAATTCGTACACAGAACGAAATTGAAGAAGACCATACCCAACGATAAATATTTACAATAACATACACAATAGTTATGAAATATATTACAC